AAGTTCTATGGGTAGAACCAGAGCCGTAGTAGAATTCAAAGAAAATACATACAACAAAAGACTTCTAGATGAGACATAGTGTTTGCCTTTCAGTAATCACTTACTTGTAAGATTAACAGCAGGAGTTGACAAACATGATATGCTATATGCAAGAAACAGATTCAATACAAGACTTCTTAATCTACCAGAAAATACAAACGAAATCCTTCTATAGAAACAAGTTAGAAGATCGGGTGCGAAAGCATTGCATATCTTCAAAAACACAAATGATAACAGAATGAGAAGCATAACAGTATACTTTGAATCAGAAGAGAACCTAACAAAAAGTTTAAAGTTTGCAATATATTATAATAATGTTAAGCTAAGATAGGCAAATTGTGAGGCAGACAACGCCAAAGAAGTATTTAGTGAAGGATATAATAGGCAAGAAACTACTCAAATAAGAAGTAACAAAAGTTTAGGAAAAAGAAAAGAATCAGATTTAGACCCTAAAGCAGAATGTTCCAAATACATACAAAACACAGAGTATAATAGAGAGAGTAACAGATACGAATCAAAGAATACACCAGAGAGAGAAGCCTCAGAAGCACTATAGAATTAGAGAGATACAATTAGTAATGAATTAAGTGACAGTGAAGAAATAACAGACTACATATCAGAAAATCTTTTGTCTTTAAAAAAAAGCAAAAGAAATACCAGAACAGTACTCAAAAATCAAGATTATCAAGAAGATCAAGAATCTTCCTTAAAATTTATATTGCAACAGCTCCAACACTTAGAAAAGGAACTCATTAATATATGCAGAAGTAGAAATGAAAATGCTAATATTTATGAAAGCAAAAGTGATGAATTGTCTGCCAGAAGACAAGTAACCTCCTTTGAAGAAGTCAAAAATAATTTGAACAAGATTACTATATGGGACTTACCTAACAGAATGAAGAGATCTCAAATCTTTGAAATGGTACGATGCATAGGAAGAATTGAGTTTATTGAAATAATAAGAAGTTCTATGGGTAGAACCAGAGCCGTAGTAGAATTCAAAGAAAATACATACAACAAAAGAC